CAGTACTAATAGCAACATTCAGCACAGCAAATTTTCAACATCTGCTTTTACGTTTATATTCCAAATGATAAAACATAGATTTCCAGCACTGACAGGCTGGAAATCAAACTGGTTCTAAATATGGGGTGGCATAGTGATTAGAATGCAGTATTGTAGACTAATTCTGCTGACTGCCAGCAGTTCGATCCAAGGTAGACTCAGCCTTCCATCCTTCCGAAGACGGTAAAATGAGGACCCAGATTGTTGGGGGCAATATGCTGACTCTATAAACCACTTAAAGAAGTCTGTAAATCAGTATGAAGCGATATATAAATCTAATTGCTATTGCTATTTCTACTGCTATAAACTTTCTTCTTTTGGGGTGGATGCAACACCAGCCATACAATAGAAACTTCTGTAGATTCTTTCTTAGAGACTGCACCTACTTTTTTTCTCAGTAATTAAAATGCCCAGTGGCCTAAAGCTTAGATTCTTGATGTTTGCTATCACAAGGAATTGGTTGAAAAGTCTTTTGCCTAAATGTTGATCATGCAGGAGTTCATGAATAGCTGATAGCCACAATAAGAAGGAGTAAATGGAGTCCTAAAAGTCCTCCATTGCTGCTGTTTTATTCTCCTTTCTTATCCTCCATGACTCTCCTGTTTTTCTCAATTGGTAGGGAAGAAAGATCCATCCAGTTCTATATTGAAACAGCTGTAGCTGCCATCTAAAAACATAGGTGTGCTAATTAACTGATTAAAGGTAGTGGTATGGCCCATTTAAAATTAAAGTGTTTTCCAAAGCTAATCGAAAACTTATTGAATGAGACACTGCCTTTGAAAGGTTGTCACCAATCAAAGCACTATAGGCTGTAAGAACAAGAACTTAAGAAAACTAGTGTAAAGGCCAGTAGAGCTGACCCTGGAAAGGAATGAGTAAACCATTAAGCCGTGCGCTTTGACAAAAGATTAGTCAGTCTTGAGAAAGTGAAGAGGGTGGGGGGAAAACCCCCCCACTTTAATTGTTCAGTACAAGTAGTCCTTGACTTAACAATTGGGACCAGAATTTCTGCTGCTAAGCAAAGT